TCTTAGTTGTGAATTTTGATAAACAGAAGTTCTTAATGAAATCCAATTTATCAATCTTTTCCTTTATGGTTAGTGCTTTGTATACCCTGTTTAAAAAGCTCTTTATGAAATTCAGGAAGATATTATCCTATGCTTTCTGCTAGAAGCTTTATTGTTTTACTTTTCACATTTAGATCTATGACCCATGTTGAATTAATTTTTGTGCGTGGTAGGGATCCAGGTTCATTTTTTTTCCATGTGGCTATCCAATGGCTCCATCAGCATTTATTGAAAAGACCATCTTTCCCCCCACTGAACTATGATGGCATCTTCATTGTAAATCAAGGGATTGTATATGTGTGGGTGTGTTTTGGGGCTCTCTATTCTGTACATTGATCTATTTGTCTAACATTTATAATACCACGCTCTTAATTACTGTAGCTTTATGTCATGCAATCTAGTCCTTAAGTCCTCCAACTTTGTTCTTCTTCAAGATTATCTTGAGGATGATAATCTTGGTAGCATCTTGATGCTCTTCATTGGGATAAACACTTAAAATTGGTACATGTATGTATGATATTACTCAATAAAAAAGTAAGTAACACAAAAGGGACTTTCCGGAGGGTAAGGGAGATGAGATACTGAACCTCTCTCAAGGAATCAGAACTCTAGCAACACAGGGGCCTATATAACAATAATCTAGAGCTGTCTCTATAGACGGAGTATGCAAACTCCAATCTGTCATGGTCCCCACTTCTTGTTCCCTATCACTGATGCGGATAGGCCAATGCCACTTTCCTTACTCCTGACTGGCTCCACTCATTTACATTTCTGCTTGGACCCTGGAGGTGTTTGAATTAATGGACTAATTTAGCAGAACCTGTTGATGTGGCTTTGACCCTGTGAAGGGGTGGTCCTGGTAATGGTGAGGGGACGGCTACATTGCTCTGGATAACTGAGGGAAATGGAGGGAAACCTGAGGGGCTCCTTTAGAGCAGGTTTCTCCACCTCAGCACTATTGACATTCTCTGTGGTGAGGCTGCCCTATGCACGTAGGACGTTTACCCCTGGCCTCCATCCACTAGATGCCCCTCCAAGTTGTGACAACCAAAAATGTTTGTAGACATTGCTCAATGTCCCCTTGGCAGCAGGGACAGAATTGCACCCAGTGGAGAACCACTGGCCTAGACCTAGAGCAGAAACAGGGAGGGCAGAAGAGAGAGCCATAGCGGGGGTATGGGCACCGGGTCCCAAATACTGGCAGAACCCCCAAGGTTCCCGCCTGGCCCCCCTTCCCTCAGCCAGCAGAAGGAGAACAAGAGATCTAGAGAGGGAAAGGAGGAACACTTTGAGAGAGAAAGAGTGGACTGCGCCACATGGAGCTGTAAACAGGACAGAGGCATCACAAACTCCAAGGGCCTCTTCTGCGTAGGACACAATGTGAACAGCATCCCCTGGAGTTGTACGATGCGGTGGCCCTGGATATAAACTATGTATGAGCTCCCCTCTCCCTAAGTATTCTGTACGTTCTGCCCCTTTTCCACTCCCCACACACATACACCCTCCTGTAATTGATGCTTAGGGGGAAATAGATGGTCCATCTATCACATTAATTCCTAGGAAGCCAGAGCCAGAAATGACTAGGATAAAAATATCAGTTCTTCCACCATTACCTCTGCCTCTCAGAAAGACTGAGATGCAGGCTCTCACCACACATGGGCTGAGGTTTAAGCCAATGTCATTTCCATTTCAAAGGCCCTGCATCACAAATCTCTGTATCTGTATTTAATTTCATTCCCCAAGCATTATCTTTCTTCCCCTTGGCTTTCCTTCAGCCTTGTAGCTTTGATTAAGTCTAATACAGGGGTGGAGGCACATACTCTGTTCTGAAGTGATGTACCATGGAAGGGAGTGGTCCACCCCAGGCACAATAATCAGGGATGCATTCTCTGCAGAAAATTTTAAAACAATCAAAAAAACTGACAAAAAAATCAGTCTGCTCTTATTATCACCATGCACCAGCAATTCTAAAATTGTGTAGACACTGGTCAATGATAAAATGCTCCTCCTCTGAAAAAATATTCTGTTGGTCTATGTTCTAAACAATTACTGTGGCTATTGTTTTAAATATATATGTAATTTTATGTTTATAACATAAGCAACATTAGCAAGACATAAATATTACATACACACACATATGCGTGCAGTATTTATGTCTTCTGTTGATGTTGCTCTTGTTTATGATGCTAGAGAATACAGTAAGTCGTCCCTTAACATGGATAGGCTCTGTGACTAAGCAAAATGACAAAATGACGTAAAATGAAACCGATTTTATCATAGGCTAACTGATATAAACAAGAGTTCAGTTCTTAGAGCATCTCATCAACATTATAACGAAACACCATAGAATGAAATGACATTATTTGAGGGCCTGCTTGTACCCATAGGTGAATCTTGAACATTTTTGCAGTTTCTCTGCCAAATTCTTTTTTTCTGCCAAATCTGCTAAGAGGATTTCAGGGCGAATAATGGGAGGTAGATCTGGGTTACAATCTTAAGGACCCTTTTTAGTCTATGTTTGAAAGAAAAATGCAATGAGGGGAAACCCACTCAGGTGCCTGCAAATGCTAATGCTCACACTTCCAGAACACCTTATACTTGAAAAACAATATGAAGTGGGAGTTTGCCATGGAGACGCTACACTTGGACCATTTTCGCCCACAGGCTTGGGGACTTTTCAGAATTGTTAAATAACCTCAACTGAGAACTCTTGTTCAAAAGAAATGGGATATTTCAGCTTCATTTCCAAAGTCTTTATTTCTGCACTTTGACAAGCCTCCTTGCAAAAAAAAAAAAAAAAAAAAAAAGAGCCTTTCACCTCTTGGTCATCTTGGGGCCCCTGATTTCCCCAACCAAGAAAAAAAAAAAAGCTGAGGATAGAAAAAGTCTCCCATCATTCAATGGGACTCCTGCCTACCAGGGGTCAGTCCCTTGTCCAAGCACACGCCAGAAGACATGGAACAAATCAAACAAACAGGCCAGGTTTATGCTAGACACACTAGTTTACAATCTTCCAGTGAAGCATTTCCTTTTTAGGGGGCAGAAAAAAAATGGGAGAACACAAATCACTGCTTGAAGATTAGTGAAGTGACTTCATGCATTTGTGTTTAAACCTCAAAATGGGCTGTGCTGTCAGGGTGCTTTATGCCTTCTCATGACGTGCAAGGCCTTCCCATCTGGCCTTGTGTGCAACTCTTGCCATTTCCTCCCCTCTACACGCCAACTGCACCCGCTCCAGCCAGAGGAGAATTTTTTGCAGTTCCCAGAATACACCACACTCTTGCGCTACTTTGCCTTAGCATACACAGCTCTCTCTGCCTGGAACACCTTCTTCTTCTAAGTTAATGCCCGTCCATTCTTTTAAGACGCTTCCGTGAAGACTTCCTGGATTCCCGCAATCTGAATTAGATGCCCCTCCCGTGTGTTCTTTTTCCTCCTGAGTTCACAGCTAGACTACATTTCCCAGTGTCCCTTGGAGTTAACTGTTGTCATATGACTGAGCTCCAGGAAATGAAATATGCCGAGATGTGTGTCACTTCTGTGAAGAGGAATTGTATCTTCGCCACAATCTCTCTTTTCTCCACACACTGGCTAAAAGGAGAAAACTCTCTAGCCCTAGAGGAAGATGGAGACACACATGGAAGGACTGGGTCCCTGCATAACCATAAAGAAAATGGAACAGCTGTGAACCCCCACTCTGGACTATAAAGCGAATGAGAAATCAGCTTTCACTGTGTCAGGCCCTGAACACTTGGAGTTCTCTATTAGAGCAATCAGTTGACCGTGACTGCATCAAAGCACCTATCCCTCGCTGCACTGAAATTCATTTGTACATCTCTGTGAGCTCCTTGAAGGGATTCTGTCTTGTAGGTCTCATCTCTAGCTCCTATCATTGTGCTTGACACACAGTAGGAGCACGGTAAATATCTGTGGAAGGGAGGTAGGAGAGGGAACAAAGTCATGAATGGGCATTGTAGCACAGCAGAAAGTCTGCCCTGGAGACATTTTTATCCCTCACGCTGAATTAGCTGAGACCCTGGCTGAGTCAGGTTTGCCGCTGTGCACCAGTTTCCTTGACTGTGAAATGGAATGAGCTAGATCAGTAGTTCAGCTTTAGTGGGACTCAGCATCACCCGGAGGGCTTGTTAACACCAAGACCGCCAGGCCGACTCCCAGAGTTCCAGATTCTGTTATTCTGGGGTGGGTCCCAAGAATTTGCATTTCTGGTAAGTTCCCCGATGATGCTGATATTGCTGGTCTGGGGACCAACACTTTGGGAAATGTGTGCCTAGATGATCTCAGACCTCTTTTATCTGTGAAGTGAGTGACCTGGTGATCCTCACCAGAGCCTGGGAAAGGTCAGGGCCTCGTGATCTCCAGAGTTAAGCTTATGAGCCAAATCATGGATGCTATTTCCCAAGTTAGTTTGGCATTTGGAACTACCTGATTAGAAATATCCTATGTGTGGCCCACCATTTACATTCACAATACAGAGTAAAATGCCCACCCATTGGAGACTGGTGCCTCCTAAAGGTATTCACATTTTAGATGCAAGAAACTGCAACTGAGATGCCAGATGACTTGCTCAGGATTTTCAAGCCAACTCTTCCTGATCCTTCCCCTTCACCTCCACTCCAGCTAAGGACATTATGATGGGAACATTTTTCAACAAAAAGAACACTGACAAGATGAAGCAAATAATCTGACCCCAAGCCAAATTTTCAATTCAGTGGATCTTTAAAAGGCACTATGAATTAATTAGCCATGATTTTCCATGACTGCCCAATGTGTACTGTGTACAGATATTTAATGACTAGCTCAGATCACCAGGAGGTGAAAATAACCAAATCTCAGACTTTGATTTCATGGAGAAGATCTCCAGCTCCTCTTCACGTCACTTGCATTAAAAGCACGCGACTAAATGCAGACCACAAATAACACTGACACCAAGACTCCATAAAACCCACACTTAGTTATCATATATTTATTTTTAACAGAGCACCCCAGTTTCACATCATGTACATTTTCCAAAGTTGGAGATTCTTAACCTATGTTCTTCACAGACTTTCCAACAAGTGTGAAAAAGAGGCAGTAAGGTTAGCTTGAGTTTACAAGTCACAATCCAAATATAGGATACCCTATATTTATGTTTAAGATCAATATACATAATGTTCCCAATGCTTAACAAATGAATGAAACTCTGGCTGAGTAAAATATTAACACAACTTGTTAGCACATTATCATGAAAAGACAGAAGGCATCAAATATATATTTTGCTGTTACTCATTTTACTGTTCAATGTACCTGTCGTGAAAAAATATACATTTTTACTTTTGAGATTAAAATAGACCATCAGCTCATCATTTCTCCTGGCCCACTGCTACAAAAACTAAAATGGCTCTTCCCGCCTGGGGCTCACTTGAACATCGTATTGTGCTGAAGACAAAAAGAATGGCAGTGCTAAAGAAAAGGGTATATCCGGCTCCTGAGGTGGGTGCAGTTGAAGCCCTCACACAAGTTGCCTTAAAACAAAGGAAAACAACACAACTCAGCTGACCCAATCGTTGAACAATGGGGTTATTACATCAACTGAAGAAGCTTTGGGATCTAGTCCTGTTGTCTGACAGGAGGCGTGAGGATGGAACTGGTACCTGAACGTTTCCTTATTCTAGTCCCCAAATTCCAGTTCAAGCCAGTGTCCTCTGGTCTTCAGAGTCATAAACCCACTTTCTTCAACCTCACATAGCCATGAACTTCGCTTAGAGCAAGACAGGAGAAGTCACAAAACACGAAACATCAACACTCCCCAATGTTAAGAGCAGAGTAAGGCTTCTGTAACTATTGGGTTGTCGGAAAAATCATGACGCATTTTTTCTGTTTTTCATTGCAAAAATGTGTCATGACTTTCCGACAATCGAATAGAACAAGTCCTCTCACTTGAAACCCTTCAATGCCTTTTAGAAAGGGTGCCTTTCACAGCATGTGTGTTAGTCAATGGAGAAAATAACGACAGAAGCCTAAAAGCAACTATCTACCAGGAATGTCTTGCTCACAGAACAGACTGGCTGTTTCAGAGAATGCTTGTAAGGCAGCCTCTGAAAGCCTGTTTTTCAGGAAGGAAGCAGCTCCTAGAATCTGCCTTTGCTTTTGAAGTCTGGCCCTCCATGTCTGCTGTTCTTACAGTTGCTCTCGGGAGGGTCACATTACTAGATGCATTTCTCATTGCAAACAAGCAAAGCAGGGTGGCCCACAGAGGAAGATGCACACTCAAATATCCCTCAGTGACTGATCTGTTGGCATTGGTGGGCAGTCTCCCTTAGCTTGTGCCAAAGGAGAAGCAAGCTATGCCAGCTCGGGACTTCAAAGAACCAAATTTGCACTTCTTACTAGGAACTTGAACCACATTGCGTTATGATGCAAAAAACCCATAACAAAACACCAATAACTAAAGTGTAAATTCAAGTGATCCTTTGAACAGTTTTAGAAGAGTGCATTTGAAACAGAGTAAACCAGTTGGAAAGAGAAACCAGTTACCATTGTTCTATTTAACTAGAGGAGAAAAAGGCCTCTCGATGGATATTTCATTCTGTTCACATTCATAATTTTCAAACTACAACCTACTGAGTCCTACTTGTCAATAATATGGAAAGACCTGGTTGCTATGATATTTGATTTTTTTATATATGTTTAAAATCACATTCCCTTGGTGATATCTAGCCAGGAGGTGTGATTCTAGTTCGTGTTGAACAAATGTTTTTAGCTCTAAGGCATTATACTGTAATCGAGATCTTTCAAACTACAGATTAGAAGAAGACATTTGCAAAAGCTTGTCTTAATTGCAAGAAACACATCTCTGTTCCAGATTATTTTCTTATTGATCTTACGAGTATACATCTATTATTACCATGATTGTGAGATCATTTAAGAAATAGACAATTTCATTTAGAAGCAGACTACAGAATCAAGTCACATATGAGAAGAATGCTTCATAATAGTTCAGACATTGGTAGGAAATCAAAGGAAAACTCAAGTTTTGATCACTCACCCAAAAGTATGCTGAAATTGAACATTTGCAACCCAAGTAACCAAAGATACACTGAAGAAAACTATAACTTATTACATATTGAGTGCATTTCAATCACAGTAGTCTATTTTAAAAACAAACTCTCATAAGGAATACAGGAATGGAATCCATTCAAAGCAACAGCTCTCAAAAGTTCTGCCAAGAAACTCAGAGTAATTTATTGCATCATGAAAGGTGAGGTGTTCAGAAGAACAAATAGTTCAATCATATTTTTCCCTTCAGATTTTATTTTTTGTATCAATCCAAGAGAACTAGCTAGATCTAAAACTCATTAAAACATGTTTTGATATTTTAAGACTGATATTTTAAGTACATAAAATTCAACTAGGTGAATAGAAGAAACCCTTCTAATCTAGTTTGAATATTGCTAGAGACCATAACTTAGAATCCATAAGATCACGCTGGCATCCCAACTCTGCCAGTAGTTACCTCTTTCTATGGATTCTTGGGCTAGGAAATGCAGTTTCTCAGGGCCTCGGTTTCCCCACAAACAAACAGCAAGAGACGGGCACAGGTCCTCTCAGCTCAGACTTCCTAGTCTCCAATGACAGGAAAACGGGCATAGCTTCCAGCTAAACTGCCTCCTCTCCCAGGCAGGTCCAAAGCACTTCTCAAATATTAATAAAGCAATTAGATCCTTCCAACTAAAACAAATACCTGCCTGGAGGACAACTCCATTCTGGATATATACCTTTTGGTTTTGCTTCACATCTGCTGGAGAGGGAGGTTGCAAAAACAATTTGCCACATACGAGAGATACTGAGATATCCAATATGCCTGTTATCAACTCCTGTGCTTTCATCCTTGGGAATACAGGACCCCTGTGGAGGGGACCACTTAACAAGGTTATTAAATCCCCACGGATGGAGGCAACACCGGCCTTCTGTCCCCAGAGTTCTGCCCAACAAGCATGTCTGATTTTGGAGTAGTTTCACCAAAGAGGTATAATGGTGATTTCAATAACCCAGCCTTCCTATAAATCACAGTAAAGGCTCACAGAGACATGATCAGGAGTTGTAATCCTAAATTAAAAGTGCACATCCTAAAAAAAACAGAAGTACAGGACGAGCACTACTTAGGTATTAATATGTAAGTATAAGTATGTATATGTGTTTGTATTTGTTTTGTTTTTTAAATCCACTTGTAAGCAACTAATAAACTGTGGTCACTATGTAAGTCCAGTCAGGAAGGTTAGGTGTAGATATTACTGGTGTGTGCTTTCATGCAATGCCCACTTTAAAGTATTCGTGAGACTATGCAACTCATGGGGCTTTGATTGTCCAATGCAAGTTTTTTCCTTTCATGAAAACTTAAGCTTACAAAACAAAACCCCAACCTAATGTGGCTCACTCTGGTGTTGGCTCAATGGGGAAGACATGTCACTATTTTAAAAATGCATGATATCGAGTAACATTCCTTAGTTTGTATGTCTGCTTACTATCTCGAGTGAGTGGACATGTACTGGAAGATTATCAGATAAAGTGCACATACTAGTCTTTCCTGGATTGAATGTAACAAAAGGCAAACATGCTGTAAAATGTCTGCAACAAGGACACTGTTGATAAAATGTGTTGCAGCCCCCAGATCTCAGAACATGGGAGAAGAGGTGACCTTTGCAATGACCCATTCATGATCTTAGGAAGGGTTTAAACTGATTCCAAACCCTTCCTATGGGGGGAGAGGGGGAATAAAAAGGCAGCCAAAAGGGAAGAAAAAGGGGAATAGAGAAATATTCAAGATTTGTGATTTTCAAAATCAAATAAATTCAAAAGCCTTTCATATGCACAGAATAGAATCAAGTGGGGTTTTTTTTCCCCCTTTGGAAAAACAGCATCTGTTTGAGCCTTTCTCTTCTGCCATTAAGCTATTGATAAAGCCTGCCAATGGAATAAGGAAGCATTAAATAAACTCCGACTTTTCCAAAAGCTGTCAACTCTGTTGAAATCAAAGGCTTCATCTCACATGCTGCATACCTATCCTAAGCCACTTTCAAAGGACCCTAGGCACAACCCAGCCCTCAATCCTAAGAATGAGTAAAGTAGTAAAATGCATAGGAGACAGCATTTCTTGCCATCAGTCTCTCAAAGTGATGTTAAAGCTGGTGTGCCCTGATCCCTGTGACGGCTGGTCACTTCCCACTTTCAACTTGAGCTTTCAGGAGATGCAGCAGCTATCAGAATTTCTATAGGATGCTGACTTCTGCAATTTGAGCTCGCTGTTTTACATCACTTACACAAGAGCCAGTTGGGCCCCTTTGGACTGCACATAAACCAATCAGTTCCCAAGGGCACACTGCACAGAGAACCAAATAGTTGTAAATCCAGTGTCAGAATTGGCTTCCTTTCATCATTTCTTCATACCCAATAATACACTCACAATCCAAGTTAAAATAACAGACAAAAATAATTACCAGAGATCACTGGATTGTTGGTAACAACCATTTCTCCCCTTCTTCCCCAGTTTGAAAACCTGGGTTCAAACAACAAATATTTATCAGTCTAAACAGTCTCATCAGCCTCTCCTATTTGATGGGTAGTGCCCAAATCATGCACTTACAGATATGTTATCCCATGCAGGGTAAAAGTAGAGATCTGGCAACTATTTATTTAATGTGATTGGGCAAGGCAGTTAAAGCACATTGCTCTTGTCCAAAAATTTACATGAAAGGACTGAGTTATCCGGGTTGAGCTGGGCCAAGTTCAATAGATCACTGACAAAACGTCCACTTTATAGAGGTGTAAAGACCCAGTAAGTCTTCGACATTCAGTAGAAAACAATAGTCATGTATTATTTATAGCTAGATATAATATCAAAATGGCACTAGAGAAGCAATTTTTGGCAGATGGTGGTGGAGGGCACAGCGCCAGTCTAAATCTGATGCTTTTGTTATATTTTAGTTTTTGTTGTTATTATCATCATGCCAAAGACTATCCAGTTAGATGTCCAATTATTCAGGAAACCAACCTACTGTACATGATATACATACAAAAATAGAACAAGCATCCTGAACGTACTGATTACAAGGTTTTGTACAAATCATAAATTCTTCAAATAAATAATGCTCTAAATTGTTATTTGCTAGAAGATTGAATTTTGGTAAGGAGCGACATCTAACACCTTGAGGAAGTACTTAAGAATGGGAGAGAAATTCCACTGATAATTACAATTTCAAGTGTGATAATCAGTTGTATTTTTCCACCACAGTAAAACATATGAGTGAAGTACAAGAGAAAAAGCGACATGGATTCTATTCTGCTGCTCACAGCTTTTGACACAGTCAGACATCTATGACAAGTAGTTGGATGGAAACATTCGAAGGAAAGATCTTGGCAGAAAAGGTCACCCACTATATTACTTGGACCTTGGGTGATCACAACACGGTGACTGGACGAAGTTGTTCCAATTGGTTTTCCAATGCAATCCGTTCTTGATGAACCTCCTGAGTTGCACAAAACAGAGAAAAGAGAAACAAAAAAAGCAGAGGGGTCATTTCCTGGGTTCATTCCCTGCTTCATCAGACATTAAAAAGAAACTTATAACTGGACCTACAAAGATTTAAGTGCCATATGGCTCATGGATGGGTGGACTGGAAGATATCATGTTTATAGCTGGTGACTAGACAAAGGAAGCTTCACATTTTGTAATCTCTCAACTCCTTTCTGAAGATGAAATGAAACTGACTGGCCACCCCACCCCCTGCTGCCATTTCAATCTCACCCTCAGTTTTAACAGGATCAGTGGCTGGCAGAGAATGTTAAAAATTACAAGATTGATTAGGAGGGAGTAGAGAAGCAAAAGCAGGCTCCTAATACTAAGAGGTAAGGCATCAGGGACTTGGTTTCTATTTAGTTCAACCTCTGGTTTCTAATCCAGCACCATCCTCAGTCAGGTGTGAGGAACGGAAAGGTACACTGGTCATCCCTCCACCAAAGTCTCGTCCAGGATCCCACGCGAAATATGGCTTAACATGTGACTTCTGGGTGAAAGGGAAAAAAAAGGATCAACAATATGCTATTTGGGAATTCAAATTTTCAGCCCTAAAGCAGATTCATTGGCAGAGACAGATGGGGACACATAAAGACATCCTTAAGCATAATAAAAGTGGGAAAGAATTCTGTATAAAGGCTCAATTCTGAGATGCCCCAGAAGAACCAAAATGCTAACAGCCAGCATAGAACTCAACAAGCATTTATTCACCCACCCTCCTACCTGCCCATCCTTTGATGCTCTATCTACAATGGGACAGGTTTTGCTCTAGGTGTGATGGTACCAGAACAAGACAGATCAGACCAATGCCTTCATAGGGTTTATACTCGAAAGGCTAGAGAAAGACAATAAATTTAAAGAACAAGATACTTTCAGAAGAAACAAATAAGATGATGTAATAGAGAATAATGGGGAATCTGGGGAAAAGGTGGAGAGGGTGGTCAGGGAAGGCTTCATGGAGGTGACGCTACTTGAGCAAAGACTTGAATGAAGTAAAGGGTGAGCCATGTGAAGACATGGGGGAAGGATATTCAGGGAGACAAAATGGCAAAGGCCCTGAGGGAGGGATAAGCTTGGTGTTTGATGAACAAAAAGGTCTATGTGACCAGAGCAGAAGGAGCAAGAAAGATGCTGGCAAGAGGTGAAGTCAGAGAGTTAGGCAGCGGCCTTGTGGGCAGAGTAAGGAATGTGGACACTATTCAAAGTACGGGGGTACAGCCTAAAGGGCTTAGAATCAGAGAAAGCACATGGCCTGATTTAGAATTCAAGTTTTGTACTCTGGTTACTGAGTAGTGGGGCAAGGCTGGAAGGAGGGAGCAGCTGGGAGGCTACTGCATGGATTCAGGTGAGAAAGGAAAAGGGCTTGGACCAGGGTAGCAGCCATGAAGATGGATAGAAGTGGATGAATTCCGGATATATTCTGAATCTAGAACAGATAAAACTCATTGATGAAGTTGATGTAGGAGAGAAGGGAACGGATTTTGGACTGAACAAGCGGGTGCTGGGAGTGGTATTGAGAGCAAGACGACTGGATGAGAACTAGGCATTTCAAGGAGAGGGTGGGGAATTAAGCATCTGCGATATGTATAGTAGATACATTAGGAGAACAAGTTCAGTAAGCAGTTGTAAATGGATGTCTAGCACTTGGAGGAAAGAGAAGTAGGGCTTAAAATATAAACTTAGGGTCGCCAGGCTATGGATGGTCTTCAAAGCCATAGAGCTGTATAACATCATCTAGCAAAAGAATATAGACAAAGGTTGTGGGTAAAGATGGAGCTAAACATACGTACCATACTCATTCCCTACTGGAACTTTAATAAAACAAAATTAAAAAAATTTTTTTTCAAGTCATAGGTACACAAGGACAGGGAAAACAAAAGGAAAGATGCAATGGCAATAAAATGTGTAAGCTGGAAGGCAAACTGATGAATGATAAATGACTTAGCAAATCCAAGAAAAATAAATGTGGGGATTCTACCAGTTGCTGAATATGTCTCTTCCAATTAAGCACTATGGAACTGGAGAAATAACCAGAGGGATTAAGGGATCCACTGGACCCACTGTGAGATGGGCCTAAGCTACAATTCCACTGATCACCTGACCTCCATAAGCTCCTACTCTGATTGGTGCATCATGGTGACATTTTGGGTCTCCTGGAATTAGTGTTAGTTCAGAACCAGTGTCCAGTAATCCCCACAAGATCTGATTAGTTCCCTTTCCCCAGTGCACAGTCACCCTGGTAAGTGGTCACAGGTTTCTTTGGGAAAGGCTAGGAGAAAGATTAACAGTATAAAATTTTGGCTGCGTAATGGGCTCATTCCTCAAGGTGACCCAGATGCCTCTCTATTCAAGGGGTTCTGCATTTGTAAATTGAATAGTTTGGGAGTTGACTGAGAGGCCGTGACTAGAGCTCTGTTTTGATGGTTGATCAAACTTGTATTCACTAGACCTGGAAGTTTTTCAATCACAGATCAAGTAAAGAAAACTGAACTCTAAGGTAAGCATGAAGATAAAAGAAGAACCAATTTGATTTTACATAGAAGAATCCCTGAAAGACTCAAAATGGCAGCAGCAGACACCTATGAAAGTAGGCATGAAAGAGGGGAGGAGGACTCACTAAAATAAGTATTGGTTGAAAGTCTGATTCAGAAGCAATTATATCTCCAGATCCTTCCTGCCACCATGGCAGAATGCTGAAGATTTGTTCTTTGAAAAAGTAAAAGAGAGGGCCCCCAAAACATGCTATGAACTTGCAGTGAGTGTTTTCACACTCCTAAATATAAGCAAAGAAGGACCATCAAATATTAAAGGAAAGCATCTACTGAGAAATACACACAACAAAATAAAAAACTATTCTGGAAGAAGAAAAACACCATCATCAAGAGAAGATATTACAACAATGAAACAAGAATAGGATACCATAAAAAAGAAACAGAACAAAAAATGAACTTTATTAAACAAGGGGATATTTAGAATTTAAAATGAGGAGGAGGAGGAGGGAGGGGGGGCGAGATGATAACAAAAAAGATGAAAAAGACGAAAAAGAAAAATTAGAGAACCGAGCTTAGAATTCCAGTGTCTGAAAAACATCAGCAAGGGAGAACAGTGAAAATGGCGGGAGGGATAAGCAACAGCAGCAAAAGTAAAGTCTCAGAACTGAAGAATATGCGTTTCCAAATTAAAAGGCCTTACCAGTATAGAGACCAATGGATGAAACTGATGTACACCAAAGGAGAGAGAGGTCACATACAAAGATTCATAAAACAGAATGAAGTTTAACATTTTAAAAATAATTTTATTCTTTATTATAATATAAAATTGACTTTTTCTTTTAGTGAACAGTTCTATAAATTTTAGCACATGCACTGATTTGTGTAACTACCACTACAAAGAGGGTATATTCATTTCCAATAAGCAAAAAGCTCTCTGATCCTACTCATTGATACACAAACTCTCACCTCATACATAACCCCTGACAACCACCGGCCTATTTTCCAGCACTACAGTTTGGCCTTTTCAAGAATGTAAAGTAAAAGGAGTCATGCAGTACATAATAACCTTTTGACACTGACTTGCCTCACTCAGCATAAGGTCTTTGAGGTTTATTCAAGTTGTGCGCATCATTCCTTTTTACTGCTACTATTCCATTGTGTGAATGTACCACAGTGTATCCATTCATCCGTTCAAGGACATTTGGACTGTTTCCAGGTTTTAGCTATCCCATAAAACTACTATGAACATCCATGTACAGGTTTTTGAGTAAACATAAGTTCTCATTTCTAAGGTGGATATCCAGGAGTGGGATTGCTGGGTCATGTGGTAAGTGTACATGTAGCTTCATAAGAAACCACTGAATGATTTTTTAGAGTGGGGTACCATTTTGCATTCCCATCACCAATACATCAGAGGTCCAGTTGCCAGCACTTGGTGTTACCACTATTTTCTGTTTTAGCAATTACAATATGTGTGTAGTGGTATGTAATCATGGTTTTAATTTGCATTTCCCTAATGGCTAATGATGCTGAATTACCTTCTCACATGTTTATATGCCATTCTTATATCTTCTTTGGTGAAGTCCTTTGCCCATTTTTGAGCTGAGTTTTGAGAATTCTTATTATTGAGTTTTAAGAGTTCTTTATATAATCTAGATACAAATCCTTTGTAAAATATGTGGGTTGCAAATATTTTCTCCCAATCTGTAGCTTGTCTCTTAACTCTCTTAACAGTGTTTTTGGCAGAGCAAGTTTTTAATTTTGATGAAGTCCAATTTATTGATTTTTTTTGTTATAGTTGTGCTTTTGGTGTAATTTCTAACCCCATGTCATGAAGATCTTTTTCCTGCACTTTCTTCTAAAAGTTTTATACCTATATGTTTTACATTTGCATCTATGACTCATTTCATAACCTTTGTATAAGGTGTGACGTTTAAATCAAGGTTCATTTTTTTACATATGGATGACCAATTATTACAAAGCAATTTGATAAAAAGACTATCCCTTCTCCATGAATTGATTTCATGCTTTTGTCAAAGATCAAATGAATGTATTCATGTGGACTACTTCAGGACTCTCTATTCTGATCCACTGATCTATGCATGAAGCTTGATATTAAAGGGATACCTCTAACTTGTCCTTTTTCAAATTTGTTTTAGCTATTCCTTGACCCTTACATATAAGTTACTGGATTAGCTGGTCTATACCTACAAAAATTCCTATGGGATTTTGATTGGTATTGCAATTAACCTATAGATCGCTTTGGAGAAAACATCAGTACTACGTGAAATCTTCCAATCCACAAACAGCAGATGCCTCTTCATTTGTTTTGGGCTTCTTGGATTTCTTTTAGCGGCACTTTATAGTTTTCAGTATGCAGATCCTGTGTGTTTTGATGAATTTATAATACCTACGTATACATTTGGGGGAGGGGGCAAGCTATTGTAATGGTATTATTTTT